AGCTATGTGACTTGACCCAATCAGCGACCTCACTTCCCTGACTCTGAGCTTCCTCCCCAGTACTGAGGCTGGTGGGGGTGGGGTGGGGTGATGATCCAGCCTGCACACAGGACACCCTGAGGAAACAGCTACAACTACTTTTCTCAGCAGCTCTTCTCATAACGACTACCAGTTTACTGAGCACTCAGTGGTTTGTGCACACCAGCTTATTGGATATGCAAGGCAGTTGAAGGGTAGTTCTTTTGTAATTTCAAAATGTGCCTTGTTCCCTCAGGGCCTCAGATTAGAGTCTAGACCACAGCCCTGCATCCTGCCCTGCCTGTCCCACCATGTGGCTAACCCACCTCCCCCTCCGTCCTCTACCTCCACCAGGGAAGTCTCTTGTGGACCCATTGCTTACAAAGGCTCTTCCTTCATCTCAGCTGAGCTTGCCATTTCACAGCCCTGTTTTTTTCCCCTGTTTTTTCTCCTGCTTTCCAGCCAAGTTACAGCCAGCCACCCTACAACCAGGGAGGTTACAGCCAGGGCTATACAGCTCCACCACCTCCACCTCCACCACCACCTGCCTACAACTATGGGAGCTACGGTGCCTACACCCCAGCCCCATATACCCCGCCGCCGCCCCCAACTGCACAGACCTACCCTCAGCCCAGCTATAACCAGTATCAGCAGGTACGTGCCGGGCAGGGTAGGGGTGGGTGGAGGCTGCGGAATGGAGAGACTTGTAGATGTGTGTTCCCAGACTCAAGCCCCTGCTTATCCAAAGAAGATGGGCAGCCTGAAGGCATCCATCTGATGTAGTCGATTCATGTGGTGACCACTTCTGCTCTAGCTACTAAACAGCTGGTATCTGAGCCCCACCCCCCAGTGCAGCAAGGCCTCCTGGTCCTGTCTCAGCACCATCACCATGTCCATTCTGATGATTGGTGCTAGCCCACCATTCCTGTGGTTAAGTATTTTGAATGTGGAATTTACCTACACCTGTGAGGGCTTAGACTAGCAGGCCAGGAGGCGGGGCTTCGGTCCCTCAGTGCCCGCTGACCAGACCAATATTGGGCCAGTCCCTTGTTCTCCCTAGGTGCCTCGATTTCTATATCGGGGGACCCGTGCATCAGCTGTTGTCGCTGCACCCATCTCTGCCCTGGGTGAGAGGGGTGAGGGGAGGAGCCAAATACAGGTCTGGATGAGAGTCAACTTGGTACTTTTGGTTTCTCCTCAGTATGCCCAGCAGTGGAACCAGTACTATCAGAACCAGGGCCAGTGGCCACCCTACTACGGGAACTACGACTACGGGAGCTACACCGGGAACACACAGGGGGGCACGAGCACTCAGTAGCAGTGTGACCCGGAGGCCCCTGCCGGCTTCCTCCACCAGCGCCCACCTCAGTCCCTCATCTGCCCCACAGGGTCCTGTGGTGCTGGGGGACAGGCCAACCCAGGGCTGCCTCCCTTCTGAGGGGCTTCTTCCCCCACAGGGCTGGGCATTTTTCTCTGGATTCAAACAAACAACAGTGACCTTTTATTTTCTCTTTCTCTCCCTACCTCCTTCCTCCTCCCTTTTTCTCCCTCCTTTTTGACTAAAGGCGCCCCTCCCCTCCCCTCCCCTCCCCTCCCTTGGTCATACAGTGACTGGGGGGCCCTTCCTGTCCACTGTCCCAGCCCTGCTCCAGCCTCTCAGCTTCCCAGGCCCTCATGCAGTTGGTTGTAAATTCTTCCAGGAGCTGTTTTACTGTCTACTTTTCAGGATTAAAAAAAAAAATCAAAAATTTTAAAAAAAAATTTAAAAAGCAAAGTGTGGGGGAGGAAGCAGTGACATTTTTTTGGTAATTATGCTTTTTTTAATTTTTAGAATTTGTCTGTTTTTACTGTGGGTCGGCTGTTGATATTTCATCAGGATAACTGTTACTTTGCTGAGTTCAAGCAACCAACAAAGAGCCACACCCTCAAAACAAAACCACAAAATCATCTTTAACCTAACTTTTTATACGATGTCTCAGTTTCCCGTACGTAACTTTGCACACAAGCTTCTGTGTTGAGTTGAATTGTAACTGCTTTTTGTATTTGGAGAGAGTGTGACTATTGAACTTGAAACCTTTTATTCCAGGCGTCTTGGTAGTTTCTGGTGGGATGAATGGGGCAAGAGGGAAGAAGGGGAGGTGGGGGGAGGGGACTCCTTCCCTTCAGAGTATGAAATTTTTCCCACTGCCTCCTCTCCAGAGATCTCCCATGTGCCAGACCTAAACATTTTTCCTACAGTGATCCTCTGATTATTTTTACTTCCCCTTGACCCATTTGTTTTTAACAGGATTTTAACAAACTGCACTTATTAAGAAATGTGTTTGCCCTGTTTTGTTTTGTTTTGTTCTGTTTCAATAAAACATGGCACCTCCTAGCAGGAAGGAAGAAGGGTTGAAACCTGGAAGCATTACTGCAGTTGGCCTTTAATTGGGGTGGGGCCTTTTCAAGGGGACTTTATTTACTCATTCATTAAACTCTTATGGAGGGACTCATGTGCCTGGCCCTGTTTTTGGTGCTGGGGCTGCCCCCTTAAACTTGGGGCTCAGTTTAAAACCCACTAGTTTATTTTTGAAGTGGTTCTCTGATCCTGCCTTTTCTAGTCCACTCACAGCCCCAAATCTCCAAGAATCTGTATAGAAGGCACAGAACCAGGTCCCTAGGTGTGGAGGGTGAGGTAAGGCCAGTGGGGTGGGCACCAAGGCTGATCTCTTAGGGGTCATCACTGGGTGTGACTGCTTTTCCACTCCAAGCCTGGCCTGTGAGCTGCACGTAGGATAGTTCTGCCTTTGCACCTGGGTCCAGTTTAGTGGAGATTCCAGAAGCCTCTATCCAGCCAATAGGTTAGGCACTTGCTCAGTTCCTTACCTGGTCTGGATGGTGCTGGGGTACAGAGCATGGCCAAGGCAGTCCTGGACCCTGGGCTCCCAGCCCAGAAGTAACTGATGATAGCACCAAGCCTGGGGGCGGGCGGGGTGGGGGAGGGGATGGATGGATTGATTGATTGATTTTAGGGTAGAAAGATCAATGTGGGGTTGCCTCTCCCACTCCCCCTACTGGGGGGCTGGTAACAGCCCAGGCATGTGCCCTGACTGGGAATGGAACCAGCGACCCTTAGGTTTGCAGGCCAGCACTCAATCCACTGAGACACATCAGCCAGGGCAAAGGATATTTTTCTGAGTGGAAGAGAAACATCAATGTGAGAGGAAAACATTGTTTGCTTCCTGTATATACCCTAACTGGAAGCCAAACGTGCAACCCAGGCATGTGCCTTGGCCCAGAAGCAAACTGGCAGACTTGCCTGGTTGGATGACACCCACCACATCAATGGAGCAAGAAGTGAAAATATTTTTAAATAGGAGTGAGTAAGGGTAAAGGACATTCTGATGGCACTCCCACAGCCTATCATCCTTCCCCGGCAACATGGGTCATTTATTCATTCCCTCTGGACATGCTGTGTTCCTGGCCCCTTTTGAGGGGCCAGTGCTGGAGGCACAAGAGTGGCCAGTTAAGCCCCATCTCATCCTGCACAGGAAGTATCTCAACCTTGTAAAGGGGACACAGGTTACAAAAAAAAGGAGAAAGGCTGACTCATTTTGAGGTTAGGGTGGGATATCTGAAGTAAGAGTCAAGATGGGTGGCTAGCTGGACTAAAGGACTCCAGACTAAGTGCCCCCCTTTCCCTGCGTAGGGAGGGCCTCCAATCCGCTAGTTTTGGAATACCCTTAAGGACTTTAGTCCGTATGTTGGGCAACCGCTCCCTCTGCTGGCCGCCTGGTGGTATGGCTAAATGCAGTCTCCACCTATCCCATGTGGCAAATATCCTGGAGCTGCGGACTGCTCCTAGCATGTGTCTGCATTACTGTACCAGCCTCCTCACAGATCCTTGCCACGAGTCTCACCCTAATACCCCTGCCCCTTCCTCACAGGATACAGAGATGCTCAAGCCACTTTATATGGTGAATGAGGCCCCATGCGTGGCCTCTGATGACCTCACTGGCTTCGTCTTTTGCTGCTTCTCCTTTGAACTCCGGATCAGTGGTTTGCTCCCAGGAGTCGCAAATCCCTTGAAGAATGTATAAATGTCATGAGTCAAATCTACATGTTCGTGGAATTTTGCATAAAGATTTGTGAGGTTCTCAATTCAGTGCATCCCAGTCAAGGCCTTCAATTAGAACTCGTTACTGTCCCCGGCCATACGAAGTGCTTGCAGCAACCAGAACTATCAATACATGTCCTTCCTCCTGGGTCTTTGCCTGACCCATCCCCCTGCACGAGACTGTTTCCTACCTCCATATGTCTCGGCTTAATTCATGTTTCAGATCTCAGCTTGGGCGTCTTGTCCTCCCAAAAGACTTCCCTGCCCCCCCCCCCCCCCCAGAATGGCAGCGCTATTAGTCCCCTCGATCCATATGAGCCCTGACACTCAGGGCAGTCACTGGTGACGTGTCGGTCTACTGTGGTAACACTATGAATCCCAACCTAAGGCAAATCAGTTTTCTAAGGCCACGGTTTTGTCCCTCCACATCTGCAAATTGTCCCAGTCCTCACTACCTATCTCATGCTAGCCGGGGAGTGGGTGTGATGAAAGAGCAAAGACAAAGCTTGATAAATATTCTCTGAAATGGTAAAGAAAGAAGAGGATAGACTGAGACCTAAACTAGAGCACAAACCCTTTGAGGCCTTGAAGTGTTTCTCATTCGACTAACAAGTCATCCAACCTAAAATTAAGCGTGCCAAGCTCTGGAGTCCCAGCAGTGAACAGGTTGAACAATAGTTCATCTCCCTCCTGATACTCCAATTTTCCAGGAGCTCAGAGTGTGGGTGGGGTTGAGGGGTGCAGAACGAAAGGGCCCCTCTGACCCAAGCGCCCGTTTTCTTTCCGGCTGCGGAGCGAGTAACGCATGTGCATAGGAAGGTCCGTCTTTGGCCCGGAACTTTGGTTCCGGGAGCAGCGGAGCATCGGGACCCGGTAGTGTGCTCAGCCGGAAGTGGCCGCTGAAGGTATGGGGTTGACTCTTTTGTGCTGAGCCTACCGCGGCGGTTAAAGAAGCGTAAAAAAATAGGATGGAAGCTGTGGCGACTGCGGCGGCGACTAGAGAACCCGATGAAGGTGAGGTCCAGGCGACTCTGAGGCGCGGGGAGGATGGGGCTGCGATGCCTTTGGGAAATGATTCCCAGAGTGCGAAGGAGGACTCTTGATAGTGATACACCTGCCCAAGGCTCACCTGTCTCTTCACCACTTTGTCCAGATTCACCCCTCTTGTTGCGGGCTGACCTCCTTTACCCCATCCCCTCCCGCGATATTAACCTCTTTCGCGTTCCAGTCTGCCCTTTTCCATGTCCGACTCTAAGCCGATTCCTTGATAGGCTAATTCTCAGGTAACGTAAACCTCTGTCCTGCCTCGGGCTTACTCTACCATTGTCTCAGCCAGCCCTGCTTTCTCAAGTTGCCTCTTTCATTTTGTCAAACTGACCCGTCCCTTTCCCTGGACTAACCCTCCTCCTGACCCATGCAAACTCTATTTATCCCAGACTAGCGGCTTCCCCCATTTCATTCCACTTCCTCTTCCCGCAAAGGTCACAGTCCCATCTGCCACCTCGGGGTCCTTAATCTATTTCTGTGCTCCCCCATTCTGTCTCCTTTGCATTTTTAGTCTCTGCTTCTCCTGATGCCTTCCCATGTGTATCTAAACTGCTTTTGTTTCACTCATCTTAAAATTCCATCACACTGCTTCAAAATAATCCCATGTAAGGTGAGATGTGGTTGGCAGGCAGAAACCTCACTGGCCAAGAATTGGTCACTATTGAAGCTGAATGATGGAAGGGTGAAGGGTTGAACTCTCTACTTTTGTGCATGTCTGAAATTTTACATAATAAAATCGTTTAAACTGAAAAGAAAATCTGTCCCTTGATCCCATAGTCCCTTCCAGAAACCATCTCTCTCACCCAAAGAGTCACCCATACTTGCTTCCACCTGCTCACCTCCCACCCATTGCAATCTGGCTTTTGACCTTCTGAAACTGCTGTGGTTAGGGTGCCCCGTGACCTCCCTGTGTTACCCCATTCAGTTTTTTTCTCATTAGAACACATGGAGAATTCAATGCCATTGACCCTTCCATCCTTCTTTAACGTGTTTCGTTTTGTTTTTTTAAGATTTATTTTTAGAGAGAGGAGAAGGGAGGGGGAGAAGAGAAGAAAGAGGGAGAGAAACATCAGTGTGCCAGAGATACATTGATCAGTTGCTTCTCACAGGCCCCCAACCAGGACTTGGCCTTGCAACCCAGGCATGTGTCCTGACTGGGAATGGAATTGGCGACCTTTTGGTTCACAGGCCGGCACTCAGTTCTCTGGGCCACACCAGCCAGGGTCTTCTTTAATGTTTTCCCTTGGTTTCTCTGACACCCTTCTTTCCCATTTTTTTCTTGTCAGCCTCTATTAGTTTGCTATGGCTGCTGTAGTGAATTATCACATACTAGGTGATTAAACCAACAGAAATTTATTCTCTGACAGTTCTGGAGGCCAGAAGTCTGAAACTAGTATCACTGGACTAATACTTAGGTGTCAGCAAGACTGTAGAAGGCAACCTCAAAGGCTCTAGGGGAGAACCCATTCCTTGCCTCTTCCACTTTCTGGCAGCTCCTGGAATTCCTTGGATTGTGGCCACGTCACTCCAGTCTCCACTTCCATCTATCTTCACACTGCCATCTCCTCCATGTGTGTCAAATCTTGGGCTCTTTCTTATGGGACAGTTGGGATAGCACTTAGGACCCACCTGGATAATGCAAGATAATCTCCCTATCTTGGGATGCTTAACTTAGTCATATCTGCAAGACCTTTTTGTTGTTGTCATTGGCTATATAAGGTTACATTCGCAGGTTCCAGGAACTAAGACATGGCTGTCTTTTAGGGGACCATTTTTTAGCTTTTCACGGGCATATCTTCTGCACATCTGGTCGGTGCTCTTTCCTAGCCCCTTTTCCCATCCCTCACACGTATTCCCTGTCCTCCCCATGACCCCTTGTTTCCTTCAGCTTTAATTGTTGTATTGGGTCTGTAACTCACAACCCTGCCCCCAGCCCAGCACTTCTCTCCTGAGAAGTCTAGTCCCAGGTACCACCGGTCTCTTAGAGGTCTCCCCTGGGGTATCCCCCCAATGCATGTCCCAACTTGGCCTCAGCATCTTCCCTCCCCTGCTCCCCATCCACATCTCTGTCTGAGTCACAGCTTAACTAGTCCAGGAGCCAGAATCCCAATATTAATTGGATGCCTTTCTCACCTCCCAGCCCTTCAGCCCAGGGCTTGTCTACTTGGCCTCCCAGGCATCTGCCACCACCCCTCCTGTCCCCTCCTCCACAGGCCCTGTCCTGGTCCAGTGCACTCTCCTCTTGCCAGTGAGTAAAGCCCTCCCTGAAACCCGTGCACCCGCAACCCTCACCACCCCCTTGCTCCTCCCCATCCCAGCCAAGCTACCTAAAGGAGTTGTCTGTACTTTTTGTCTTCACTTGGCTCCTGCTTGCTGCAGCCCAGCTCCAGTTCCCACCGCTTTCGAGAAGCAGCTCTCACCCAGGTTTGCCTAGTGCTCAGCTTCCTTCTTTCCGGTTCCTGTATTGTCTTTGATCTTGCCTATTCCCCCCATTGACTGGAGGCTTCTTGAGGGCAGGAGCTGGATTGGATTCTCCCTGTGACTCCTCAGCATTACCCAGCTCAGGGCCTTGAGTAGATTTACAGTTCCTGAAGGGTGGTTGGATGAATTGTAAATGAATAGGAGAGGACGAATGAGTGAGTGAACAAGTCAGTGAAATGTATTAAATTTCCTGAACAAAGAAAAGGCAAAGAATTGAGTGAATCCATGAATGAGGTGGAAAGGACCAAGTAACCACACCAAATGCACTCCTGCCTCAGGACCTTCGCACTGAGGGAGGCTGTTCCCTCTGCCTGGACTCTTCTTCCCCAGAAATCTTACGGCTCAGTCCCTCACCACCTCACATCTCTACTAAAATGTCACTTTTTTGGCGAGCTTTCTCTCTTAAAATTGCAGCCTCTCTCCCCATCCCCTCTCCTTCCACCTGGATTTTTTTTTTTTTTTTTTTGCACAGCTCTTGGAAACACCAGACACACTGTATGTTTTCTAACACACAATATGTTTTTAGTAATTATGTTTTTAACTATGTGTCCCCCACTAAAATGTCAACTTCTTGTTTACTGTGGTGTCTCTAGGGCCTAACACAGTGCCCAGATTGGAGTAGGTGCTCAGTAAATGTGAAGTGAGTGAGGGACTGAGCACCCACTCTCCCTCCCCTACTCCTGTCCCTAGATTAAGAAATCTCCCTTTTCCCCCACAGGCTGCACGGGCCCCAGTCCTAGGCACTGGGGAGAGCTGAGCTGGATGCCGGTTCCATCCAGACCCCTGGACAAGGAAGAAGCAGCGGAAGGAGATCCAAGGGCCCTGGACGACAACTCCTCTGGGGCCGAGACCACGGAAGTGAGTGCTATGCTGCGTGCTGTGGCTGCCAGCCGCCTGCCCGTATGCAGCCAGCAGCAGGGAGAGCCTGACCTGACTGAGCAGGAGAAGGTGGCCATCCTGGGCCAACTCTACCACGAGAAGCCACTGGTGTTCCTGGAGCGTTTCCGCACAGGCCTCCGTGAAGAACACCTGACCTGCTTTGACCATCTACGTGGTGACCATCGTGCTGACTTCTACTGTGCTGAGGTGGCCCGGCAGGGCACTGCCCGACCCCGCACCCTGCGCACCCGCCTGCGTAACCGGCGCTACGCTGCCCTGCGTGAGCTCATCCAAGGTGTGGGGGCAGGTGGGCTGGAGGGGAAGGGAAACTGAGGCAAAGCAAATAAGAAGGATGCAAGAGCAGAAACACAGAGATCCTGGGAGAGAAGTGTGGCGACAAGGGACACAGGGGAAGACTGATACAAATGTGAAGTGATGGGGTGAGATGGGCAGATTAGACAGACAGGGATCTCGGGGAAGTGAGTGGGAATGACAGAAGTACCATTTCAGGTCTGTGGGCCAAGGGCACAGCAACTTGCACTGTGGTGACTGGTTATCTCTCAGGAAAATCAGATCCCTCCCTCCCACTGAATACAGAGGCATTGCTGGAGACCTAGGGGGCATATCTGTGACCCTGAGGACACATAGGCCCTCGAAAACAAGGCACACACGTGAAAAGCGTGAAGGCAAACATCAGCATGTTTGACCGCAGCCTAACAGGTGTCTCTGACCAAGGACAGCAGAACTAAAGGTGAAAGATGAGAGTGAATGAAGCAGAGAGTAAGAAAGTTTCTGGTTAGGGAGATGGCACAGGCTGAGGGAAATGGAAAGAGTGGGACACAGTGACAGATGAGCAAAATGACAACAGGAGAGATGATGAGTGAAGGGGGATGGGTGACAGAAACCAGGGTCAGAAAAGGAGGGGAAGAAACTGAGACCCAGAGACAGGGGGCAGCAGTCAGCCAGGGGAAAGGAGGGAGAGAAACAATCTGATGGGAAACACCAAAGCCAGGGGTAAGAGAGAAGGCAAGATGGAAGGCAGGATAGGGCGGTCACACCTGAAGCCAGGATTTTGGCAGATTCCTCCTCTGTGTTTTGAAGGTCGGGCTAGGGCCAGTAGGTGGGAGGGACCCAGCTCAGTTTAACTGTTACGTAAGGGACAGAGCTGCCCTGCAGAAATAGGCAGCCAGGGGTGACGCAGAGGAGCTGGGTTTGGGGTGGTGAGGGTGCCAGGCCTCCCTGGGGGGTAGCTGCAGAAAGGTAGCTACTAGGGAGAGGTGAGAGCCAGGCTCTAGAAGGCCAGCAGGCACATCACGCCTGAGCAGACGCCCTGCCCTACCTGATCCCGTGCACACACATGCCGGCTCCACACAGATGTACACTTAGGTGCCCAGCAGTGCAGCGGTCTCCAGATGTGTGCACCACAGCCAGATGGGGCTCAGTGAACAGGCACACAGCCTGTAGCCTGTGTGTATACCTGCCTGCACCATCCTGCACACCAGCTATAGGTGCCTGTGGCGGTGCCCTGACACGTGTGGGAGGGTGTGGGCAGGTGCTTGTCCGCAGGCCCCAGGCCACCGGTGCCATGAGCCAGGGTGTCTGTGGGTCTGACTGTGTTCAAACATGCTGGGACACACGAGCACAGGTCCTCATATGCGTGCATGAGTACTGGTGCCCACACGACCTCGGGCGTGTGCTTATCTTCCTACATATCTGAACTCATGCACACTCGCACACATGTGCTCATATCTTCCTACCAGTACGATCACTCACACACGGACACTGTCACCCTATACACAACCCCAATCCCATGCCCACCCTGCCTTCTCCGTGCAGGGGGCGAGTACTTCAGCGACGAGCAGATGCGGTTCCGGGCCCCGCTGCTGTACGAGCAGTACATCGGGCAGTACCTCACCCAGGAGGAGCTCAGCGCCCGCACCCCAGCCCACCAGCCACCCAAGCCCGGCTCCCATGGCACGCCCGCTTGCCCGCTCTCCGACCTGCTGCTCCAGTCCTACCAGGAGCGGGAGCTGCAGCAACGGCTGCTCCAGCAGCAAGAGGAGGAGGAGGCTTGCCAGGAGGAAGAGGAGGAGGTGGAGGATAGTGACAAGGAAGGTGAGGGCCAGTGGCAGGGAGGCTCTAGTACCTGAACTCCACAGTCCTGGGCCTGCACACCTCCCCATTCCATGGCCCAGGCTGGGCCCCACCTGCACGAGCAGACAGCGAGTCCCTCCCCCGCCTGACCCAGGTGCCCTCTGTGCCCTGGCCCTTCCCAGCCTCTCCAGCATCTATGTCCCCACTCCTCAAAAGCACCAGGCAATCCCTCGCTTCCAGGCCTTTGCACCTGCCTTTCCCTCTGCCAGGAATGCCTTCCCTCCACCACCTTTCAGGCGCCCCGTTCTGGCCCTACTCTGCAGCCCCCAGAGCACTGGCTTGTCATTGTGTGTTTGGTGTATGCTCTGGGACGGCAGGGGCTGGAAGCTTTTTGGTCACTGCTGTGTTCCTGGTGCTGCCCAGCACCAAGAAGCAGCTCTCTGGACTGTGTCCAGTGTCTGCCCGCATGAGTCCTTCATACACCCCCACCATGGATGTCACCCCCTGCAGACCAGAGCCCCGGCAAAGACTCAGAGGTCTGGGTCCCTGACTCAGAAGAGAGGCTGATATTGCGGGAGGAGTTCACCAGCCGGATGCACCAGCGCTTCCTGGACGGCAAGGACGGAGACTTTGACTACAGGTACTCCCGTGCCCCTACCTCCCTGTCCCCCAGCCCAGCACCTCACAGTCGTCGGCCACATGCTAAACCTGAGGCACCTCCGTGGAGCCTCAGAACAGTTCCAGGTCTGCCAGCCTCAGGGTTTCAGATCAACCACAGGTCAGAGGGTGACCCTGGACTAGTTTGTGCATCTGAGAGCCTCAGTCCTCTCCCCAAATGTAAGGAGGGAATGAGCAGGGCTGACATGCAGCTCAGTGTTGACATAGCGTTAAAACACTTCCGCTCTGGCAGGTGGGGTGGCCTGGCAAGATGCCGCTACCCCCAGGCCTCACAAGTGCCCCCAGGACCCCAGACCTTGTGCTGCCGGCGGTAACCCCTGGCAGAGTACTGCGTGGCAGGGAAGGGCCTGTGGTGGCTGCCCCTGCGGTGCCGGTGGGTAACTTCTCCAGTGTAACACCAGGGCAGGACACATGGGCCACCTGACTGGAGAAGGACTTTGTCATCAGGGAGGATACAGGAGGCTGAGACATCAGAATCAAAAGTAAGGGGTTTTGTTGGCAAGGCCGGTGGTGCTGAACACCAGCGTGGCCGCAGAGGCACTGGTTTCAAACCCAGCTCTGATGCCATGTGAACTAGCAGCCCTCTGGGCGCCCGGCGGCAGCGCAGACTCGCCCAGCTCCGGAGTCGGGCCTGGCGGGCCCACTTCCCCCTGGGGCCAGCCTTGCGACCCGAGTGCCCACAGAGCAGTGAGCAGAGAGCTGGGCTGTGGGAGCCCCCAGTGAGGACACTGCTGCCGCCATGAACCCCGAGAGAACCCGGGCCTGTCGTGAGGAATTGGGGAACAATGGGGACCAAAGCCTGCCCCCCCTAGAGGGCCCTGCTGGGCAGAGCACCAAGTGGTCCCCTCATTGTGCCTGCTGTGCCCAGGCTCTGGGGCTAGAGCAGGGGATAAAATTGATGAGGGGCTGCCTGCCCTGGAGGGGGTCGCACTGTAGTGAGGAAAATGAAGCATCAAGCATTTAGTGATGATGGGCCATGAAGAACAATGAAGGGGGCAGGTGACACGGTGGCGGGAAGGCCCTCTGAGCACAGAGAGCAGTGAGGCAGGCAGTGGGCGGGGGAGTGGCAGACACCTGGGGGAAGAGCGAACCTGGTTCCTGGCGAGGCTGCTGGGGGGCAGGAGGTCTCATCACAGGGGACAGGGCTTCCTGGACGGGAGTGAGCTTGACCGGGGGTGTTGGGTGCGGGATTCAGAGTGGAGCCAGGCTCCTCACAGGTTAGGGTCACTTGCCACCTTAGCGCAGTTTCTGGGCCTCAGCACTATTGATCTTGGGGCTGCATAATTCTTTGCGGGGAGCGGGGGAAGGTGCCATTCTGTGTGCAGCAGCATGCTGAATAGTACCCTTGGCCTCCACCCACTGACAGCCAGCAGCAGGCCCCAGTTGTGACAACCAGATGTCCTCTGGGGGGACAGTGCCTTCCTGGGTGAGAACCAGTGCCTTGACAATGTGGGCCCCAGCATTAGGACGTCACACCTGCCAGCTTTTCAAGAGAAACCAGAAGTTTTATGTAAAATCTCTGATTTGGAAAATGTTGCCTTTTGTTGGAAGCCCTGGGAGACCCAACGCCCCCTCCAAGGAAGGGTCAGCTGCGTCTCGGAGCTGTGGCCTGTGGCCTCCAACTGTGGGGCCTCGTTCCCTGCTTCTCTGGAGGGCGAGGAGCAGTGGTGGGGACTGGGGCCCAGGCAGAGCCAGCCCCTGACAGCGCCGTCCTTCCACAGTGCGGTGGACGATAACCCCGACTTCGACAATCTGGACATCGTGGCCCGGGATGAGGAGGAGAGATACTTCGATGAGGAGGAGCCTGAGGATGCGCCCAGCCCGGAGCCAGATGGGGACTGATGGCCCGGCCACCCGCCCTGCCCCAGCCCAAACGAGGCAGCTGGTGGGAGGCTGGCTCAGAGACTTGCTTCAGGGGCCCCGTGCAGGTGCCCACACCGCCGGCCTCCCTCTGGGTCTGGTCCCATCTGAGGCTGCCCCTCCGCCCGTGTCTGCAGCTCCCGGCCTGCCCCCGAATCCCACCCTGCCTCCCCGTTTTCACTGCCTTCTCTGGTCTCCTTCGGTTGTTCCGTCACTTTCTCCCTGCCTTTCTGTGTCCTGCTTTCCGAGTCTCCCTCTGATTCTGTTTCCTCTCGGCCTTTCTGTTTCTCCCCCTTTCTCTGTGCCTTGGCCTCCACCCCCACTGCAGGGCGAAGGTCCTTCCCTGACAAGGCAGCAGGACTCTGTGGCTAGAGCCAGCCAGGCTGACACCAGTACCCAACTTGGGGTGGGGCTGGCCCTTGGGCCCCAGAGCAGCTCACTGTCTGCCCTCCCGGTCCTGGCCTCAGTCCTTTACCTGTCCCGTTTGTGCTGAGTGCTCCTTGCTTCTAAGTTCCCTTCTGTCCTTTGGCCTCGTGGGCCTGTGGTTCTCCCGCCAGCCTGTTTCTATCTCCCAGCCCCTGTGGCGTCCCGGTCTCAGCCTTTATCGCTCTGGGTTTCAGTGTCAGCTCCAGTGTGCCCCCTGAGTGGGACCTCGCTGCAGGCGGGGGTAAGACCAGAGGTGGCCACAGGTGTCACCTCTCCATTGGGACCTTGGCCTGGGAGGAGTGGGCAGGGGCACACTGGGTATCGTGGGCCTGCCAGCTTGGGTGTGGGGGGAGGGGTGTAGGGAAGGGGAGCTCTCCCCTTACAGCCCATGGCCCCCCTCTGCCCAGCCACAGTTTTCCCTTCGTTCACTTCCTTCGCCTCCCTCTCCCTGTCCTGTTTACACTCCCCAAATACTCACAGGCTGTTATCATGGGTCCTGAGTCATCCCACACACACAGGCTGCCCCTCGTCTCTGCCCCAGCCAGCCACAGGGCCCACCCCACGGAGCCCCCTGCCTCCCCAGGCTAATGAGAGCCAGATGGCCGCCTGGTGACTCAGCCACTGGCCTGTGGGAACCCAGGCGTCCCGCCTTCCCATGCCCCCACACCCAGCTCATGCTCCCCTCGTAGACACACGAAAAAGGGCTGTCTGCGGGAGGGCACGGCCAGGGGTCGGGGAGGCGGGGTCTGGGGACTCGGTCCTGGGCACGTTGGCAGCAGCGTCCTTCCCCATCGGAGCCCGAGGGGCCTCCAGGCTGCCTCCCAGCATGAGGTCCAGAGTGAGCAGAGATCCCAAGGCCTCCTGGGGCCCATGACTCTTGACCCCTGGGTCTCAGCTCTGCCCTCTGGGTCAACCAGAATTAGAGCCAGACATAGAAAGTGAAAGCTACAAGGGGCCAAGGGACATTCAGGCTGTTCAGTGAGACTTCAGAAAAAGGAAAGTTGTGGTTTCTGAGCAGTTTTACTTTGTGCCAGGCTCCAGCAAGGTGCCTGCGGCTACGCCAAATCCCCCAGATGTCCCTTCAAACTGGGGACTCAGCTCGTAGAGGGGACTGGGAAGGAAGGTGGATGTGCAGGTCTAGAAGCACAAATCCGAGAGAGAGAGCTCTCCAGGGCCCGCCCCCCAGCTGCCAGGCCCCTCAGGGTGGGCAGGTGACACAGGCATCCTCAGATGGGGAGGTGGGGAAGAGTTAGCTGTTGGTAACAGCAGCTAATGGTCTGGGGGCCCTCCTCTGGCACCAGGCCATCCACGCAGATGTGACGGAGCCGTCCTGGTGGAGAAGGCAGCGCTTGAGTCAGACGTCACAGGGTCCTGGGGGCTGCGTGCTATCACCACTGATAACCCACCTCCTCAAGGAGGCCCAGTGTGAGAGCCAGGCAGGTCACAGGAGAGACTTCTGTCTCCTGGGACTTGTGTTCGGCACTCCAGCTGTGAGCACACCCATGGTACGGGCATCAGTGCACGTTTCTCGCCAGTCTGTCATTCAGTCATTAAATTTGTGATATAGTTTGCCATACATAGATTTGTTTGTTTACTTTAGGTGATGAGGGACCGCAGCTGAGTAAGAATTAGGGTGAGTCAGATGGTGAGGCGGGAGCGTCAGTAGCTGAGACGAAGGTGGAGCTGGTCAGGAGGGGCGAGGAGAGACCCATCCCCCAGGTCACAGCCTCAGCGCAGCCGAGACCTGGAGGTGCCTGAGTGGCCTGTCCCTCGCTCCCAGGTCGGGTTGGGGTGGGTGGAGAGGCTGAGTCAGGGAGGGAGGGCCCTGGCGGGGAGAGCCCCTCCTGGCACATCCGGCCCCCACCCCCGGTCTCCTGTCTGTCCTGCTAGCCGCCGCCCCCACTCCTTACCCCCCGCGTCTGACACCTCTGTAGGTCCTGCCAAAGCTGACACGGAGGGCTCCCCACCCCTGTCCTCCACTGCCCGCCGGCTCTGCCCTTTGTCCGCTTCTCCTTCCTCTGCCCCCCACGCTCCTCTCTGTCACCCGTTCAGTGTCTGCACCTCGGACGATGTCTCCCTGCAGTCCCGCTCTCCCTCCTCGTTCTTCCGGGGGCCCTGCCTCCTCTCTCCCTCGTAGGTCCCTGCATCTTGAGCCTGAGTTTCTGGCACTGTCTCGTGACCCCATTTCCCCTGCCTTTCTGTCAGGGCCTCCCCTCACTGTCACTCTGCTCCTCTTCACCCTCATTTTTTCCTGTTCCTCTCCCTGCCATCTCTGTTGGCCCGGCCCCCTCACCCCATCTAGTTCTCTGTCCCCTTTTCTTTGGCTCCCAAATCCTGGGAAGCCCAGAGGGGATGTCCAGGTTAGAGGTTCACTGGTGGCCCCTGGGAGCCCAGAAGCGGAGGTCGCCTTCCCCCGCAGAAGGGGGGTGGGAAGGGGCAGTGAAGCTGCGGCCTGTCTGGCCAGAAGGAAGTGTCTGTGCTGTGGCCTGGTCACCCCCCCCCAAACCGGCCCCAGGACCTGCCGGGCGGCTGCCACCCCCAGACCGGGACAGAGTAAACACCGCTGCCGGCAGCCCGGGATATTTATACCGAGGGCCGGGCGCGGGTCCAGTGCCCACCGCAGCCCCTGCCCTGCCCTGCCCTGCCCGCCACAGCCAGCCCCAAGCCAGCGTGGCACCAGTCGGCGAGGGGACACGCCGCAGATGCGGCCTCCACTCAGCATGGAGGCCACCAGGCGCACTGCCCAGGATGCCAGTGGCTTCACTGAGGACTCATGATGCCCCCTCGCCGGGAAACACCAGCACAAAATGCTCACAAATGTGTGCACACACCCCACTGACAGCTCAAAACGCCCCCGAGGGGATCGCAAAACAGAACCCCCAACTGCTCACACACTGAAGCCACCAGCCCGATGCAGACGCCACCTGCTTGCAGAGGCTACGCACACCAGTCCCCGAGATGGACACACACACACACACACACACACTGGGAGTGACAGCAAGCAGGCTAGACACACCTCGTGGACACATGTTCAGAACGCCAGACACACACGATGGTCACAGTGCAGCCCAGGAACAGCTCTCCCGCAGATGCTGGGACCTGTCACCCACACGGGAAACACAGCTCTTGTGAGAAAACACACACCCCCTCCTGGAAACACCTTTCTCACAGACGCACAAACATACACAGAGGACACCCCCGTTTCAAGTCAAACTTAAACTAGGGATGCACAACTCACACCCGTAGGAGAGCAGCAAAAATATTAAGAAAAAATTCAGGCATATCACATGCCCCAGCACACGACCCACTTTGCACACAGACCTCCCAAGTCACGTGTCAGGACCCAGAGCCCAGGGAGCACACCAACTTGTGCAGCAGGTACACACACCAGGAGCAGGGCAGTCACCTACACACACATTTGAACATGTGCTGGAAATTCGCAACAAAGCCTCCAGGTACCCAGCTGGTGTGTAAAGAGACCCCTGTGCTTGACACATACAACTCACACCACAGAGCTTGGGGACACACACACAAAGGTGTCTTAAACCGAGACCAACACTCAGGAGGTCTAGAGGACCGGGCTGTTGCCTGTGTGTGTGTGCCTCTCTCTCTGTCTCTCTCACCCACTGACCCTAGGCCCAGGACTGTCTGGGGGAGGGGCAGGAAGGCCTGAGCTGGCCTCCCCCAGCCCTGCTTCCTGCCCTGTGGGGGCTGGATAGGAAGCCGGGGCTCCAGCCGGAACCCAGGCTCCCCCCACAACTTCCCGGCCTGCCCAGAGGCAGGGGAGGGGAGCAGGGGCCCCCTGAACCCCCCAGTCTGGCCCATGCGGTTGGTTGGGAGCCTGAGCTGCCTTGTCCCTCTGGTTCCCGGCCACCCTGGGGAGCAGGGGGAGGGCAGGAGCAGTGCTCATGTGGTGCGAAGGTGCTGAGCCTGCAAGTTTCCTTCCAGGAGGCAGGCAGGTGGGCGGGTGTGTCACGGGGGCGTGGCCAGCGCTTGGGCACCAGGAGTGTGACTGAATCCTAGTACGCAGCCAGGACTTGTCCTGGGGCCCAGGCACGAGCTGGGCGTGTGAGGGCCGAGACCCTGGGGGTGTGTCCGGGTGTGTGGGACTGCTCCGTCTGGGACCCGGGGCGTGACCGTGTGTCTGGCTATGACGGGCTGGCTGCTGCCTGCCAGGTCGCATGGGACACCACGGGCCTGAGTGTGTGGGGCCGTGAAATGTCAGAGCGAGTGGGCACAACCGCCTGGCAGGCTGTGCAATCGAGATGTGTCAGGTCTCTGTGTGTGGTGTGTGTTCCCCCGGGGGGACGGACGGGTCAGGTCATGTGTGTGCATTTGTGTGTGCCTGTGACTGACCCCAGCCGCAGAGGATGTTTGTGTAACTGCTGATGGGTCCCTGCCAGAGGCTCTGTTTCATTTCCTCATGCTGGGGGGGGGGGGTGACACTGTCTCTTAATCTTTGGTGTGTGGTGGCTGTGAGCTTGACCCTACAGACTGTGTGTGAGTGTGTCTTGCCGTGTCCCTACTAAAGTCTCTGCTTATGTGGGGTCCCAGGGAAGCTCCAGGCCGGGCTGTGTGGGTGTAATGGGGTGGCACTCGGCGGCTGTGCCTGCTGCCAGGTGTCCTGCAGGAGTTTTGGTGTGCTCGCCGTGGCTCCGCGAGGTCAGTGTGTTTGTGTGGCTGTGGGACATTGTCCGTACTTCAACCCCTGTGTGTGAATATGTGCACGAGTGTGCCATGGGGCTGCGGTAGGTCACGGTGTCCTTTCAGATGTCTCCACACAGGAGGCCAGTGACAATGGCTCCCCGTCCTTGCATAATGAGCACCTCCTTCTCCCACCCCACCCCACCCTACCTTCTGTGGCTCCCAGACCTGTGGCAGGAGGAGTAACGACACTGACACCCTGAGCTGGATGGGAAGGACCCCAGGGCCCACTCACCCAGACCTAGTGCTGTGCATGGGCAAACGAGCCTCACCCCCATGCAGCCTTCCCCCAGGGCCCCTGTGGGCAAGGGAGCAGTTCAGGGCCCTGGACCTGGGAAGGGGAGGGAGAGATGGAGGAATTGAAACCCGGGAGGAAGAGGGGAAACCAAGAGCCTAGAGAAAGAGGAACCAGGGAGAAGGCACCAGCAAGACCATAGCAGATGGGAAGAAACGAGGCCCAGAGGGAAGCCCACCCTGGTGCAGGCACCAGCGCCTCTAGCCTGGACCATGTTCTCCCTATCGATCTACTGTCAGCCGTCAGCCAGAGGGATCCTCTGAGCACCTGAGTGAGATCGCACCCCTCCTCTACACGGGACCCTGCCATGGCTGCCATCTTCCCCCAAGTGCAGGTTCTCACAGGTTCCCACACCCTTCAGGGCCCATGTGGCCTGGGAAGGGGTCAGGTCAGCACCAGTGCAAAGCACCCTAACTCCCGCTGCCTGGTTGGAGTCCCCTCTCTGCTGCTTGTGTTGCTAGCTAACAAGTAACCTTTCTGTGCCTCGGTATTCCCACCTATAATGTGGTCTCTATAGCAGCAGTTGGCAGGGGTTTTCTATAAAGGGCCAGATAGCAAATATTTTTTATTTTGCATAGTTTCTACTCGACCTGGGCCTTGTAGCAGTAAAACAGCCCAAGATGATCCGATTCACGGCTGTGCTCCAATAAGTCTTTATTTACAGAAACAGGCATCGGGTCAGAATTTGCCTGCAGGCCACGGTTTGTCAGCCCCTGCCTCTGCTGTGCTGTGGGGGGAATACAGTGAGCTGGTAGATTCATACCTGGCATGGAGGATTGTTATTACTCTCTGGCCTGGGAGTGTAACCATCTGACTCAGCTCCCAACACCCTTCCCCTCGCCCCTCCCTTCCAACCACTCTGGCCTGTTCCTTCCTCCCTCACCCCAAGTTTCTCCTCACTTCCAGACCTTTTCTTCCTCCTACCAAGAACACTCTCCCCTGAGCTGTCTTCAAGTCCCAAATGCCACCTCCTCCAAGAAGCCCTCCCTCCTCCCTCTCTCACTCCATCCTGCTTTCCTGTCTTCATGCCACCCACTCACCATGTCAGTCTCTTCCCCAGAAAGCAGGTTCCTGGTGGGCAGGAACTATTCCCTTAACTCCTCTGGGCTTCAAGTTTCCTCGCCTTTAAAGTGGGTGTTATTAGAGTTCCCAGTGTCTCAGAGCTTTGTTATGGTGATTGAATGAGTTAATTAACAGGCACTTAGAACAAGACCCAAGATGCTCAATAAATAAATCTAATGTTTACCAGGAGTGCATGCAACATAAGAAGTGCTTGGTAAGTGTCTGAGGAGGGGCAGATGAATGGTGGAGAGAGACTGGAGGAGGCAGGTGGAGCGGGAGTCCCGAAACGGTAGTGAGAGACCTGGTCAGGCGCCCAATGACACAGAGACCCCTAGTCCTCTCTCCACCTTTAATGGGCCCCCTGATGTGCTTCGGGTGGACAATGTCCTTAAATACAGCCCGGCGTGGCGGGCAGGGGTCGGGGCCGGGCCTGCCGGTGGGCGGGGCCTGGGGGCGGAGCCTCAGCTGCACTTGCAGGAGCGCACGATCATGTTTGACAGTTGCTCCACCTTGGG